ATGAAGTAGCGCACTGTGAATAATTAAGTCTGGTTTTTGCCTTTAATCACATTTCTTTGAGCATATAATAAATAAAGGTTGCTAAAGGATATATAATCTTGAGATTATTTTATAAGAACCAAGTAATCTTATTATTGTTATGTAACGAATATGTAAAAAGTTTGTTGAATTAATATTTTTTTTCGAGTTATCGTATGCTATAACCAAATTAGATTCAATGATACAATGAAAAGTAATATATTTTATTATAATAATTTCTTGCTTGTATCATTGTACACAATAATGTGCATAAAAAATACCATAAAAAACTAAGAAAAAGCTGAATAAAAAGAAAAAACATTAAATATTGCTAAATATCGTAAACAATGATAAGATTACTTTATCTAAAGTAATTATTATAACAGCAGAGCTTATATAAGCTTTGTGATTCTCTTTCAAATGCCATTTCTCTAATCTACACTTTCTCTTGTGGAAATCGTTTCGTTACATTCACTTAATAACGAGCTATTTCTATTGTATGAAAACGAGCGCATTTGAGTGCGATAAAATAGTTATAATTTTTCAAGGAATTGTTCTTCTTTATTGTCGATTTTATACGCGTAGAAAATAAAAGAAGGCCTAGACTTTTTTTAAAGCTTCAAAAATATAATATTTACGAACCGATTATTGAGTTACAGTATTGAATATTTATTTAGTAATCGCATTTAAAATTCGCACTGTTTGTTCATTAATTCTTACATTCCCAAATCTGCTAGTACACAAACTTATGTTTTCTTTCTAATTGAATCGAATTTTAATTTTTTGTATATTGTGTCTGCATAACAAGTATTCAATTTCTTGTGCTAAGTTAACCAAACTGGTTAATAGACTAGATATTTCCCGATGTAGCTAGAAAAATATTTTATAAAATAGAAATTATTTTATTTTATAAAATAATTTACTATTATTTTAGATTATTCATTTCACATACAAATTATGATATCCGGCGACTAATATATAGCTAACAATAAAAATAATGTAAGACAATTAGGAAAGAATCGAAAGACGCAAATCTTATCAAAAATAAGTATTTTTTAACATTTTCTCCGATTATTTATTTCTTATAAAAACATCATGTTAATGCAATAATAAGTAATAAAACATAATAATCTGTAATATTAATATTAGAATTTATAACACAAAAATATCCTTTAACTTCTCAAGATTTTTACTAGTATTTTTATTAACTAAGATTTATGTTTCAGATAAAATAAAACTTTTTTGTTCTATTTTGAAAAGACAGTCATTCGATTTACGTACCTATTATTATTTTTCGTATTTAATTGCCAATCATAACGACATAAATTAAATACATATTGAAACAAAACAAAAAATTGCGGTATAAGCAAATATTTGAAACTCAAACATATAATAATTGCAGTTTAATGATTATAGATTCTTTCAATTAAAAATATAATTTTTAATAAATTAATCAATCTCGTAACAAAAAGTGCGGATCATGTTTAACCTTTGAGAAGCTCCGCAAGAAAAAACCGTAACATTCTTTATTATTTAATAACACTAAATCACTATTATATGACAATTTTAGCTATTATCACAATGTGGTTATTTAATTCTCAGTATTAACAATTTGTAAATGTAGCAAAGCAACAGTTATTTATTTAAATAGATATATTGTACAATTTATTCATTTGAAATAGGAATCGAAGCATCGGGGGAAATGGGAATTTTAATTCATGTATCGTGATATTTATGAGCGGCAATTATTTCTTTAACGACTTATTGATTCGAATATATCCTGCGCTTTAAATTTTTCTCGCCAATATGTAATTTTTCATCGACCGATGAATGATAAACTTTTATTTTATGATAAAAAACATCGAATATATGAATATACAAATATATACTTTTATAAATAAACATATATCTGTATGTTTTATTTTTATTTTTTAAAACTTGTATGTTATATGTCATATAAAAATTTTATATATACAATATAATGTAGATGCTTTATTATGTATTTGTGTTTTTATTTATTAATTTTTTTTTTTTTACAGAAAAATTTTTATTAATATATTTATATATCGCGGATTTCTATATACATATGTATATGTATATGCATATACATACACGGAATACATTACTATTAGAAAATCCAGCATACATAAATATTTTGATCGAGGAATATATTTAATATACGCATATATCAACTGTATAGCCTGTTTTATGAATATGTAAAAGAAACAGAGAATTTGAAAATATTTTTTAAATATTTAGACATGAAAATTCTCTCTTCTTTAATTTTGGTATACATAAAGCAAATGATTATATTTCTCTCTTAACACTCACTGTCAATTATGTTAGCTGTTGCAATTAAGCTCGTCATGTTCACGTAAAAAGATCAGCTTCTTATTCGATCGAGCTGCAAATGCCTATTCAGCTCCTGCCAATTAATTAGTCATACGAGCACGAGTAGAATGCAGCCTATATAATGAACAGCGACACGAGCATGGTAATTGATCGATCGTAGAGATTTCCGCGTTCGACGGACAAACGACGAAGTCCAGGACAGTGGTCAGTGATCCCTCTTCACTCGATTCCTCTTCAACCCCCTCTTTCTCCTACCCTTTCGCGAACGCGTCCTTTATTCAAACCGGTTCACACTGAACCAAAAGCCAAACGCTTCAATGGTGTTGTACTTAATTAATACGAGATTCCTTTCAACGGCCGAATGAACGACTTAATCCGGAAACAAGCGGCACTTTCGTTGGATAATCATTTCGACAAATAGAGTCAAACGGTATCGACTAATTTGAATGGCAGAGAGCCGGCGATTGCTGTCAGAGTAATGCGAGCACCGATGTGACAACAGATCCTGTACCATGACAGGCGAAACGGGAGTTGCGGGTAAACCGGAGGTTAATATTGCGGTGTCGCGCTTTCCGATTGAAGCGCGAGATTTCCGATATTCGTGCGCGATATAGTATAATTTATTAATATTAGCGACAAGTTTATGAACGTTTCGTGACAAAAGAGTATAAATTAAAGAAAAAAAGAACACAATAAAAACATTTTTAATGACAACGTATAAAAAAGTTTTGTGCCGATTTTGTCGCGATACAGGCAAAATGATAACAAACACTCCGACCGATGTGTCAATATTTAATGTAATTGGATAAAAATAGTTTGAACGAGAGTAAATATTGAAATTATCGTGTCCAGAAATGTGCTGAAAACATTCCATATCACCGATTTTACTGCTTCCAAATTTAAAAGTGACATTAATTTTACATATATAAAACGGATAAAACTATCGATAAAATTTCTAAAAAAGAACTATTTTGTATGAATTTTCAATACCAGATAGAAATGGTTAATCCTCGTGCGATGACAAGAGGTATTGTCGTACCATCTGATGTAAAAATAATCTCGTCTGGCAGACTATTCGATCTAATATGAGTATTATCTGACTTAGCCATATCCGCCCCACGACATGAACATGATATCACAATAGTGACACTGGCAACGAGGGTTTGCCGTGCACGCAACGAATAATACATGCAATACTACACGCACGTGATTGTAACAGGATGCAGTGCGTGACCGGCAAGCAGGCCGAGCTTGTAATAGGCAGAGACCGGACTTGCGAACCGGTGTCGTATGCCGTCAGTAATTCCACTCAAAAGGCACGATTCTGAACTAATGACGCGGAATTCACCTTTGTATACATGCCTATGGAATTTAATTCCCATACATTTTTCTCGTCTGTGTGTATGTCATTATTTATTCATAATTACGAAAAATTAACACACATTGTTCGCCAGTATGATGTTTCGCTTTCAATTCTTGAGTCGTGAATAAATATGAACTCCGTTGAGTAGAATATTAAATCAATAAAAAAAACCAATTTGCACGTGCGATACATATGCATCGATATTTATGTAAAATTATTTTGAAATAATATAAAATTAAAATGTATATAAATTATATATCGTTTACATTATCTTTTAACGATTTTATATAGATATGTAGAAAATGGCGGACTTTTATCAACTTGTATATCGTCTTCGATATTAAACAAATGTATTATTTAATTATTGACGCATGATTTCGCATTGTATTTACTGAATTCCTAATCTAACGTTGTATAAACATCAATTTCTAGGAATACGTAATAATATAATTTTAGGCAATAACACAGCGTACAAAGCTTCATAGTTATATACTTAAGTAAAGCAGGTTAAGTAGAGTAATATTATTAACGATGTCGAAGTTTATCATTCTCGCGCTAATGCCGTGTAGAAATACTTGATGAAAGCTAGCAGTTCTCTCTAATACTGCTTCTCTTCGGTCTGTATAGAGTTCCAAAGAAAACTTACGATTCGTCTAAAAAGTAGCATGCGCAGACATCCTAAGTGGCTCTCTTATGGCTGATAAACGCCAACGTTGATTACAGCAAAAAGAGGTCTATCTTAAAGCAACAGTCTCTCCCTCTCTCTCTCTATATATCTCGAGCAACAAACACATCAAATTTTGTTCGTCACGATCATAGCCATAATAAGATTAGGCTAATTATGTTTATGCACTTACGAAAATCGGATCAGCCAGACTCCATTCACGCACGCGAGGCGATTACGCGACGAGTGGACTCTACTACTAATCTTGTTGTTTTGTTTGGTTTAGAATGAATTTGCCATTGTGTATGCCGCGAACTATGTAACGCGTAAGTACATGTTCGCGAGAATATTGCTATTGAATATTAACTAACGGTAAGCGAACGGTAGGCAAACGAAATCACGGAATAACGAGGATCGAGTAAAGCGTGCGTAACTAATAGTTTGCCTTTTGCAGCTGAAAAGAGGCGTAACCGATCGCGATCGTGTTAACGATTGTAAATATTAATATAACTTATACTCTGGCATTTCTCATTTAAAATTACATGTTTAAATCACTAATTGATAAAGTATTTTATTGCATTTATATCTTGCAATATCACTTACCGCTTCCGTGTGTACAGGATGCGTGGCGAATAACAATCCGGCGAGAGCCGCGAATCCTGGCCGAAGTGCAGCTACCACGAGGCTCACTCTGGTGACCAAGATGCACGCACCGGCGTGTAAGGCGACGTTTGTGGCGTGATACCACATAGGACTCAAGCCTGCCATCAAGTAATTCAATCTGAAATCAATTAAAACGAGATTCATATTAATTACGACATCGACGAATCATTCCTATCGGACGATCTAAAAATATTTCGACTTAATATAGGAAAATTTGTAACGTTTTAGTTACAAAGATGGGTGACAAGTAACAAATAGCGAATAATTAATTCACTCGGTTGAAATAATGAGAGATAATATCCAAGTTTTCTGCAAATAATCGATATGTATATAAACGATGATAGATAGTAGATATGTATAAATAATAAAAGATGCTTCGTCGAAAATACTCGAGTTAGCAAAAATGATATATAAATTAACATATTACCTCCTTATTAAGCCAGTCTAGAACAGCTAATTATGTCATCATAATACAATGCATTTTATATGCATCCTGTGTAAAATAATATTAATTCGCAAATGAGACAAAAATGTCGCACCAAATATAATTTCAGTTCCGAAGATGTTATATCGCTCTTCGCGATGCTTACGTGAAACTATTCTTATTCGTAAAAAAGGAGAACAAAATTCATTGTCATTTCATTACAAAGAAACACGAAAAGATAAATCCTGTCATCTTTTTGTTTATAAGTACAATGGATTTCAAACGCAGGCCTGACGTAGTTTTCACGAAAATCCGCTTAAGTCGGCCGGAGTAATCGGATTTTAGAAAACCATTCCGACCGTTCTCTTTTCGCCGCAACTAACCGAGGGACGCCGCTTTCTTTGAGGAGATTAAAGTAACTGATATATATATATATATATATATTGCACATTGGCAAAAATAATATCGGCTTTTGATATCGCACGCGCGAGAATACTCTGTATTGAATATCTTTCATCTCGCGTCGTTTATTCAATCTAAAGATCGCTGAAAAAATCATTCTCGTCATTGCAAATAATAGGCGCGAAACTGAAATAAGAGGCGGTATGAAAAAGTATATATATGGATCGTCGTGCCGACATCGAGATGAAAACAAACACCGTAGTTGCTGACGCAGCCGGGCTATAATTTTGGAAGCCTGCCGGCGGCATAAGTTCGACGCCCCCGGAGAACCTGCGCTTGGCCCGTTTCCAAGTGTCAAGGATCATGGGTTGTCGGAGGCGTATCCTGTCTCTTCCTTGGCTCCGGATCAAGCAAGAAGCTCGCATACGTCGATCGCAGGGCAGCGCGCAAATTTCGCGCTGCAAAGTTTTTACTTGTATTGCAAATCATTTATATGCATGTATATGTTTATTTTGTTATTACGCGTGAAATGCAAGAGTCTGATGGTGCAAACTTTGATTTTGCGAAATAATAAACTTGTAGTCTGGATGAAGAATCCTCGCTCGCACGTATACATATTTTTTATTTGAATATCAACGTGCAAATCATACGTCGTATTTATAACTACTTATTGTACTTTATTGTTTCTTCGCTGCATTCTTGGTTCGTAAATTTCTGGCACACGCAAATTCGAGCTACATCAGAGTACGAGAATTGTATGCTTACATGAGTTTCTTGTTTGATCTAACTGGTTTCTCCAAGCACAACTGCGTGCACGTGCATTCACGGTACGGAATGAAGTACGTTGGATTGCAGCGACAATGTTGCATTATCACACTTGGATATTAAACAAGTATTGATACAATCTTGCTATATCGATTACGTGATTAAATATACGAAGACAATTGGAGATACTCTTTGGCGTAATGACATCAGTTTGGACACTGTGGACTCGACAAATAGAATGTAATTACTTTAACAGCTGGTATCTGTCTTCGATCTAAAAAAAAACAAGGAGATTAATCGCTGTACATTACGAATGTCTCAATCTTCAGCTTTATTCTTCTTCGCTCTCTTTGCGAATAATCATTTATATTTTTCCCCTGAGGAATTCTGTAACGCAATTTGTCTTCGTCGGCGTAACTTTCTACTCTACGCGAAAATTTCTCTTCTCATATCTTTTATTCATGTCATCATTGAAACTCGCCCAAACACACAAAAGAAAGACAGAGAGAGAAAGAGAAGAGAGAGAGAGAGAAGAGAGAGAGAGAGAGAGAGAGAGAGAGAGAAAATTAAGTCTGAAAAATAATTACAAATTCTCTTTGTCCGCGTGCAAATAACAAAAACTGTTGACTTCAATGCTTTAGGAATATCTAATTCCGTACAATATAGATTCGTGCATCTATATTATTTATATACAAAAAGTATCTAGTAGAGCATGAATAATGGCATTGCATACTAATATAATAGTAAAAAAAATAATAATGTATGTACAAAATATCGATCAATTTGCGTTCTAAATTACTAATTAAAAAACTAATTAAAGAAGAAATGTCAAAATTTTTTTTATTCGGATACGAGTAAAAAAAAAACACTCTTGTAAAGTTAAAAAAGTTAATTTAATTTAATTTATTGGAAAATGATAGAAAGCTCTCGTCTCGAAGATGAAAAATCTATTTGCACGACATTTAGGTCGTAATTATCTATTTAATTAATTCGCTTTTAAGCGCTTAATCTGCTTTATTTCTATATATTTTCTTAAAAAATGCGATAAGAAACTCGTTTAATTTTTACGTTTCTACCATGTCATTTTTAATTATTTAGTTACTTTTAATGACCGCGACAAACTATATTTTTATCATTACCATATGAACATCCCATAATAATATTATCATAATTGTAATTAATATGCTTTAATATATTATTACGCAATCTATGAAACGTGCAACGTGTTAATCTAATATTTTATATCGTTCTTTGAACTCATTTATTAAAAGTCTAAAAAACATAAAGGAGCACTGTGCATACAAAAGCACTGTATTTGCGCGCGCTCGGTCCGAAAACGATAGTTATACTTTAAAAAAATATTTTATGTGCAGTAAATTGAAGTATAAATGGCGTGTACTTTACATTTGCTGAAATAACACTGAATGATACAACCATCAAAAGTTTGAAAACAGAAGCATAGTATGATGAAGTAGAGCAGCTGCTCGTATCAGACCGCAGCGGGACCTGATACTAACTGTCTGACCGCAGCTACGCTCTTACTACTGGCTAACCACGACCGGTTCTATTACTACTGTTTGACCACACCGGCCCGTAACTACTGGCCAGCCGCAGAGCGCGATCAATACTTATTCCCGCTGTTCCGTCATTATCACTTTTGCGTTTGCGTTCCAGAACAACACGAGCGGCTCTCGCGCCACCTAAATGAAGAGCTTTAATCTCAGGAAGAACCTTTAAAATCGGACACTCGTATTTATCTTGACTAACCGTAGCTCTGTGAAAATGTCGCCTTATGCGTAAAGGCTCGTATATATACTATCGTGCGACGTAGATCAACGTCCTGAAAAGAAAATCTTGGCTGAATTCCGGTACATAATTAACTAATGAAATTTTGAACCGGTCGTGTAAGGATGAATCATCGGGGCGAACCTTTCAAGGAAGACGCTCGAGACGTTCGGTCTCTTCAAAGGACTCTCCTAAAGACGGCGCATCGTAAAAAAGTCGAAAGATCGGCCCCTTCGTAACGAGGTATTAAAGTCTTGAACGATGTCGTTAAATCACGCTGGCTTAGTTTACTACTCCTCCTACCGTTACGTAGTCGAAGATCAACCTCGTTTCGTCTATTCGTCTTGTTAGTATCTCCTCTTCCGCTTGTAAGAAAAAAAGGGTTTTGAAGCTACCCGTATATTACGAAGAGTTTTATCATTATTAATCAAGGATAAGATATATCAACAATGTAAGAGAAAAAAAATGTGATTTTTATATATATTTATTTTCATGCGAAATATTTATTTTAAAAGCTTCTTCACGCTTCTCAGACTAGAAAGCATTCCTTTAACTTTTTCTCGTGGAATGTCAAAGTAATGCACGATACCGCAGAGGAAACATTTTCGCGCGATTTTCCTTGACAGTGATGTACGTATTTCGAATCTCGTTTCCTTTTCGATAGCGGGGCATCGAGTTTCAGCTCCGCGAGAGGACTATCGTTTGCAGCCGCAAGACAAAGGCACGATGATAGAGCATCATAGAACGCTATTCAGACTCAATCGTGCGCGGAATATAGCAGCCAAGATACCGATTTCGACTCTCCAGTGCTGCTTCAGTGATTTAAGGGACTGGCTAACCCGTACTTCCAGTCACGTTCCTCCCAGCCAAGTGTCCAACGAAATAAATCACGGACACGTCGAGACTTCGATCTCTGTTGTTCGCGCGAAGAAATTTGGTCACGTTGGAAGACACCCCGATCGATATCCGCAAGATATTGCCCGTTCTTTTATGTTCAAAGAATAAGAGCACCTTTTTATGCCCTGTTTTAAAATTCTTATAAATGCAAATTTCTATTTGCTACACGTTTGTCATTCTCTTCTTTTATCGCGTCTCTCATCTCGTTTTCCATTTTCATTCTTGTAATAGAATTATGATAGTCGCGCAAATATGGCGAATCTGCCAGATCGCAATCGCAGATTGGCAAGATTGTCATCGACGATTAATTATTATCTCCTACCGATTTCTTCGACCCTCTGTTTCTCGACCCCTCTCTTTCATTCTTACGATCCGCTTAGGAACGCAGGCAGATCTGATAATACTATGAATTACGACCGTTTATACACCTTGAGTGGCGCCATATATCAACCGACGAGCCTCATTCCTTTCCTAGATTGTATATTGGAAAATATGGTGTGTCTATGTCAAACATGATGAAGGACTTTCCGAGAAAGGCTATGCAGCAGGTAGCTAGCTAATATCATGTAATCATTAAGCCACACAACATCCCTATCCAGATTACGCCTCAAAATTACAGTATCGATCGACGTGACTCCACAATCGATTTCTCGGACATATAGTCGAGTTATTTTACGTATAAAGGCTAATATAATTCCTTTTTATATAGGCATCATAACACAATTTACATAAATATTAGAATTTCTGAAAGAGGAAAAGAAGATAAATAGGCAATTTTTGTATGTATTGTTGTAAACAGTTTTGTTTGAAACAATTCATCGCACGCAGTAAGAGAATACACGCGA